AGTGATTGAAGTAAAAACATAAAAGCTTAATCATGATTGGCAAAGGTTTACAGGAAAATATTTTAAACAATGTACTCAATGTCTTAGGTTGCCGCAGTCCAGCTGAGCAAAGTAACCAGGGGGTGACAAGCAACTTGAAGGTTGAAGTGGGAACTGCTTATTGTGAAGCAACAGAGGTTTATATACCCAACTGATTACACACAGCTTGACTCAATTAGCATCATTCAGATACAGTAGTCAGCCAATAAGGAATCCCCACCAACTTAATGGCTCGGTGGCCTTGCCTCACAAACCACTCTTCCTGGCAAACTGCCAGGCACCATCTTGACTTGATTTGCAGTCCCCAACATTAGGTAATCAATGTCTGTCAGAAAAGATTGTAACTCTTGTAAATTATGTAAATCAAAGACGTTTTGGGCTTTGAGGCTATTCATTAACTACCTGAGAAAACACTTGCAAAAAAGGTGTAAAAATAAGGGCCCCTCTAGGGGCAGCAGATCCTTCTGGAGGGTGCTCGTAACTTGAAACCTATCTTCCAGTCTCTCCTTCTTTCGCAGATGCCACTCCTCCTTCAAGACCCCTGGATCCCCACTGGGGCTGGACCGGCAACACAGGATTTCTCTCCAGTGTGCATTCTTCCATGTATTTTAAGGGTGGAGAAATGACTGGAGGCTTCCCACACTTCTCACATACATGTTTTCATGTCACTGTGAATTCTCTGTTGTTGTCTGTGGGGGCTGGGGTCACCACAGGCTTTGCCACATTGCTTGCACAGTCTTTCTCCAGGGTGACTTATATCTTCTGACTAAATAGGAATGAATGAAAGCTTTCCCACCTTGTTTACATATATAGGGCTTCTCTTCACTCTGAATTTGTTCACATGGCTAGATGAACAAAAGCCTTTTCCACATTGTACACATAGATAGGATTTCTCTCCATTGTGCTTTATTTCATGTATTTGAAGGGATCTGGGGAAATGATAAGCTTTCCTACATTGTTAACATGTATAAGGTGTCTCTTCACTGGGAATTCATTCATGTGTTTTAATGTGGCTAAAAGAACCAAAGCCTTTTCCACATAGCCTACACACATAGGGCTTCTTTCCACTGTGAATGTGTTCATGAATTTGAAGCAAATTAGGAAAACAAAAGGCTTTACCACCTTGTTTGCACTTATAAGGTTTCTCTCCACTGTGAATTCGTTCATGGATTTTAACATACGTGGAAGAACTAAAGGCTTTTCCACATTGTTTATAAATGCATGATTTCTGTCCACTGTGAATTCCTTCATGTGTTTTCATGTAGCTAGAAGAACTAAATCCTTTTCCACATTGCTTACACACATAGGGTTTCTCTCCACTATGGATTTGTTTGTGTGCTTTAGCATTGCTGGGTGATCTAAAGGCTTTTCCACATTGCTTACATATATAGAGTTTCTTTCCACTGTGAATTTGTTCATGCCTTTGAAGAGAACTGAGAAATGTAAAGGCTTTCCCACATTGCTTGCAATTATAAGGTTTCTCTCCACTGTGAGTTCATTTGTGTACTTTAGCGTGGCTGGATGAACTAAAGGCTTTTCCACATTGCTTACACATGTAGGGTTTCTTTCCACTGTGAATTTGTTCATGAATTTGAAGAGAACTGAGAAATGTAAAGGTTTTCCCACATTGTTTGCATTTATAAGGTTTCTCTCCACTGTGAATTTGTTCATGTTTTTTAATGTAACCATAAGAACTAAAGGCTTTTCCACATTGCTTACACACATAGGGCTTCTCTCCACTATGGCTTTGTTTGTGTGCTTTAGCGTTGCTGAGTGAGCTAAAGGCTTTTCCACATTGCTTACACATGTAAGGTTTCTTTCCACTGTGAACTCGTTCATGAATTTGAAGACAATTGAGAAATGTAAAGGCTTTCTCACATTGTTTGCATTTATAAGGTTTCTCTCCACTGTGAATTCGTTCATGGATTTTAAGGTAGCTGGAAGAACTGAAGGCTTTTCCACAGTGCTTGCACACATGGGGTTTCTCTCCTGTGTGAGTTCTTTTATGCTTCTGGAAATGCTGGGGATCATGCAAGGCTTTCCCATTTTCCTTATATTCATATGGCTTCTCTCCATGTTCTGGATACTCATGTGCTTTGTGTCCAGCATGAGATGTCAGGGGCACAACTAGGGATGGATCAGTAATGGTGACTTCTCCACACACATGGTGTTCACTAGGTTTTACTCCAGAAGAATTTCTCTTGTTTACAAAAGGATTTATGATGTGGCTGATGATTTCTCCACATTGACTATCTTCTTTCTGTTCACAGTCTCTCTCTAACACTTGAATTCTGCAAAGAATGAAAAGCACATTACTGAGGATTTATTTACTAATGATTTAGCAGAAGAATTGGCTTTATGCTGTGTAAGCTTTACTACTGAGCTACATTTCAGTCCTTTAAAGTTTTTTTGTTTTTTTGAGACACCATCTTAGTTCAGGGCCTCACTAAAGTCCTGAGGCTTGCCTCTCACTGGAGCTCCTCTCCCTCAGCCTCCTAAATTGCAGGGATTAGAGGAATGCACCACTGCCCAGTTCAGGTTTCTAAATAATCCTGCCAAATTAAGATTTTGTCAACCATGAAAATGTTTATTATCTGTAAATACAATTGAGTACTACTTGTGTAAAAATGCATGGGACAAAACTCAGATTGGGATTTTGTGATATCTGTGTATACACAGTAAAATATCTTCAAAATGAGTCCCACTTGAAGATAATTTCATAATCTTCAATAATTTATATACAAAAATAAACCACTCTGTATAAAAAACTACCAGAAAGTGTCACCTATGACATCAAGTCTGTTCCAGATGCTGCCTGCACTGGAACACTTTGGATTTTGAACTTTCCAATTATGCATGCTCAACCTGCATGGTTGTGAACAAATAGATAAATCAATTTGAACCTTGGCATGTGTCTTTTCCTTCTTTTCATGATTTTGTATAAGTTACTCCCAGATTTCTGAGGGATACTGGCCTTCTCTAATGAGTTCAATTACCTTAGATTTCCCCTGGAATTGTAGTGATCATCGATGGCCTGATTTTTCCATTGTTTTCCTAAAATGCAGACCCAAAAACATCATTATGGCTCATTTCAACATTACAGAAAAAACTATCAGAGTCTTGTAGATCTGTTGTATAATGTCACCATGC